TTTCATTTAATGTAAAGAATTCATTATAAAGTTAAGTCGAATGCAACTTCATTGTCTAACTTGATTTCGGACTCAAACTGAAGAGCAGATTTTTCTTTTACAGACATACAGTTTAAGTGTCATGCAAAATTCGGCTTCAAAAGTCTCGAGATAATTTTTCTTTAGAAAGTTCGGCTTCATTCAGCGGACTACTACTCTTAAGCGGAAAAACTTCCTGAGCTGAAAGAGCATGTTTGGTTTTCTCACCTAGGCGCATGATCTTTCAAAATGGATGATTTGACAGGTTGGTTCATACCTTGAAGAAGTATTGTTCGCTATTGGAGCTCAGTTTGTTCAGGAAAAACAAACAAACCATTATTTAAAGACAGAGTTTAAGCAAAAGCTGGCTAGGATATGTCAGTAACCATTGTTCCTCAAATTAATTAAACCCCGGCACAAAGGCGCCTCAGAGCGAATTAGGGTGCTCATCCGACTTACTGCTGAACTGTTAACTATTCGTGAAGAAGTTGTTTATTTAAAATGCTTCTCAACTCTCAGTTGTCAGCTGAACATAATGGCAAGACGTCTGTAAACTATGAGGTCTGCACAAGTACATTTGACTGTGTTAAGAGCTTCAAGGTAAGGAATTTTTTCTTAGTCTCGAAATTGAGTAACAAGGAACCAGTTTCAAAATACAGGAAATACCATTGGAAAGCTTTGAATCAAAGCCATTCGTAAGTAAATGTGGGCATGCCCAGGCTTCTTTTTCCTGTTCTATAAACAGGTTATTAAGACGCGGTCGTCATTCGATCTCAGTCGCGTTTTTAATCTGGGAATTAAAAAAACTTTGATCGGAATGTGCTGATTGTACCGAAAGTTAAAAAGTTTCGAATCAGTGTTCACTGAATCAGCATTTACTTTGTTTGGAGAAGCGTCTAAGATTTCTCCCGCATGACCAAAAATGCTTGATGTCAAACATCAATTTGAATTCCAGCTCTTCCTGAAAGAAACCTTCGTGTCTAAGACTGGCACTGTTTGGTGCGATACTTGGAACGTATTGGAAGCATTTTTGCATCGATTAATATAGATCGCTTAAAATGAAAGAAAGATATGGAAGATAAAGTGGCTTTACTTCTCTGGCCTTGCCGATTCACGTTTTGGTTTTCTTCTGGGATACTGTTTCCTCGCTAAAGTAAGCAGTTTTAAAATAGCATCTTACTTTCACGGGACTTTTAAACGACCAAATTAAAGTCTCCCTTTCTCGCATGTTGACAAGTTGTATGATAAAAAAAAACAACTATTTCCCATTTTCAATTTCAGTTTGACAAATGCGAGTGATCAGAAGTGGTCGTAATATTTAGGGAAATGTCTCATATTTAGTATGATAACATTTTCATTTTCATTTCTAGTTACAAAAATTACTGTTTTTAGATCACCTCTCAGTTGTCTTACAGTATAGCAGGGAGTATAGTCACTTACATCGTTCAATCCATGTATAGGTGACTTTTGCGTATCCGTGATTGTTGAAAGAATACACCTCAGTTTTTCGATTGAAGAGATATCCTCCTCTTTTAAACTGAACTGCTTTTTGCAGCTGGAAATTCAGTGTTTCGTGAACGGTAAGTTGTCGATTCAAGTATGTACGTTCATTATTTACTAGTGACGGTCCGTGACGGACTCACCGCTCAGAGCAAGCGGAGAGGCTGGTTTTCTCTTCAAGTGTATTTGATGTGCTGTCACAAATCCTTATTATTAATATCTGACAATGCTTAAAATGTTATAAATGGATGAATTAAATTCCAAATTTATTTTTTGGCAATCAATTCTTGTTCGTTGAGAACGTTGTATGGGTATTCAGTCAGATGGAATATAATAATTAGTAACGGTTTAAGGAACTTTTCTTTCAAATCCGATTGAAAATTAAAACTGTTTCTCTTCTATTGCAGGCTTCGCAACCATGGCGGATTTAAATTTTAGCCAACTGCAAAATTCCTCGATTTCAAATGGCGAGGAACCTGATACCGAATACTTGGTGCTTGCACCTGTTCTGGGGCTCATAATGCTGCTCGCCATATCTGGTAACATGACCCTTATCATCACAATATGCCGCACTCGTAAACTGCGCACGTGCACAAACATGTTCATCTTAAACCAGGCATGCGCAGACCTGGGAGTCGCTTTATTTTGTATGCCATTTTCAATCATCACGTGCTACACACGAGACTGGATATTTGGTGACAGTATATGCCATCTAAATGGGTTTGTGAACATTCTGTTTGAGGCTTCATCGTTGTTTACGCTTACTTCGATAAGCATCGAGAAATACTTTTCCATCGTCAAGCCTATGAGGGTTGTCATAACAAAAAAGGTGACAGTCACCATAGTTGCCATGACGTGGTTTACAGCACTTGGGCTTGCAACCTTACCGTTGACAGGATTCATTGCGTTTGAATTTAAGCCGGGTAAGTAAAAATTTTTTTTTCCATTATGAATAATTTTTGAAAAAAATGAGCAACAAGTTTTAGAAGTCAATTATTAGTGCAGTTTGGGGTAAAAATTACAATTGATTAAGTATTCCAGAATTTCCCAAGAAATTTTATTTGCTTACTTTTCAATAACATACATAGAAATTTAACTTCTTAGACTATTTGAGATTTAATTTAGTGAGGTGTTTTCAGCCCAAACGAGCATGCTGAAATGTCGCAAGTATGAATGTTTATTGAGGTAATAAATTTTTATTAACAGATTTATTACACCCAGTTTGAAATCACTGGTGGTCCCTGTAATCTGATTGGCTCTAATTGGTGCGATTTATTCACGAATCGTACCATTTTTTGCTTTAAACGCATCTTTTTCCCAGCCAATGAAGAGGCTACACTAAAAACAAAACAACCAATCAGATTTCAAGGCTTGTTCAAAGTAACCGATCAAATTGCAGGAAAATGAAAGACAAAGACTATCATACGGCAAATTTTGCAACTTTTGTTTCCAAAACTCCTATTTCCCCCCCGCCCCTAAAAAAAAAAGATGAATTTAATTTCAAACCGGCTCAGTACTACATTAATAAAATATTTGAACTGACCAAGTCCTATATTTTGGCGATTTCAAAATGGATGCAATAGCCCGATAGTTAATCGATTAATGATTAATAACGGTAACTGAACCTCGTGTCGTGCAATTTTGGTCTGAAATCATACTTGTGATTACAAATCACGCGTATGATTTCAGCCCAAATTGCACTCCACTCATTTCAATTACCGTTATTAATCATTAATCGATTAACTATCGGGCGAAAAGTTGGCAGGGTTATGGAGTAACACAAGCTCGGCATAAAAGCCTATGAACCAAAAGAAAAGCTGCAAACAGTTTTAACAATTTTCTTCATTCCTTAGGGTCAACTCAGTGTGGAGTTCAAATCTCATCTAATGTTGGTCAAACCATTTACTCATTGGTGGTTCTTGGAGTCGCCTTCCTTATGCCGCTATGTATCATGGGATTCTGTTACATCAACATTTTCCTGGTTGTAAGGAAACACAACATTCGCCGTCCAAAGATGTCATATTCACGCATCGACAGAAAAAGTTTTCTGTCGACTCAAAGCCAAATAGCCCTGACCATTTTCATGATGTTCATTGCTTTTATTCTCTGCTGGTCACCTTATTTCGCGTACATGATCTACATGACCGCTCGTCAAGTGAAAAGCCCAGATGCATTCGCACGGAGCTTGGGACTAGTTTCTTATTGGTTTGCTTTCCTAAACAGCTGCATTAATCCGTTCCTGTACGGCCTCAGGAATCCTCTCATCAGAAGATCGCTGTATTCAATGTGCTGTAATCGCAAATTTCGAAGCAGTCGCAGACGCTATTCCTTGAGGAAAGCAAATGACTACCGTGATCCGCCATTTTTTGGACCACCCCTGCCATTAGTCGACTACGACAAAACATCCCCTCCCTACCCAGCTTTCATCAACGTTGTTGCCCTGACCGAGGAAGACATAATCAGCCCAAATGAGGGAATTGGCGAGCCGACTGTGGACAGAGGAACTCAAACGGGCGAAAACTGGAAAATTTTATCTTTCCAAGATTTGCCGCAAACTTACTTCGTCAATGAAGCGTCTTCCACGACAAACCAAGTATTTCCACTTCAGTTACAAGAACAGGGAACGTTATTCGACCATACCCATAACGTTTCAAGTTCCTCATGCTCTAGCATGTGCTCTGGTTGCAATCACGTGGTGACAAACAGTAATGAGGAAATCTTGTGTTCCAGCATGTCATCAGTGAAAGACAGTGGTCTGTGTAGTGAATGCGCATGCTTGTCTGATTATGAAAGTTCAACGAGTAGAAGTTGTAGTCAATGCAAACAAGATGACCTTGAATCGAATTCTTGCCCTTCGATTTTGAATCACACGAAAGAATTTCAATCGCATAGCGTGTTGCACCAAGTTGATCAGGCTGGAAACAATATGGAAAACTCCCTCCATTCCGCGGTGGGAAAAACAAGAATGAGTTTTAAAATTGGTTGGATGGAATCTCATCTTTAAACCAACCAAATATGTGATACTATGCCAGTTGTTGGCGGGTTCTTTTTCTTCGCGACGATAAGAAGCCTGTAATTAGCTCTGAGTGAATTGACCTGAATACTAATGTTGCAAAAAACAAAATTAAATGTAAGCTAAAGCAAATCGCGAACTCATCTGTGACGATTTCTCGACAGACTTGCTATACACTTGTTGTTAGTCGATCAAAAATGATGAAGGGAAGAGCATTTGGATAGACGGCCTTCCCGTCGTTCCCTTCGTTGCGTATTTGATGCTTGATGATTGTATAGACTCTTTTAATCTTTTACACTTTGGTATGTT